ATTGTCTTCTGGACAACTGTCAGATCAGCAGTCTTCCCCATGATTGTGTAGCCTAGTGAACCAAACTGAGTGACCATTTTGAAGGCTCAGGACACCTTTGCAGGTGTTTGAAGTTGACTAGCTGAGTGGCATGTCACCATATTCCAATTTATTGAGATAGTGATTTGGTGAGTTTTTGTTAAATGTGGGCCAAAATCATCACAATTAAAAGACCCAACGGCTTAAACTACTTCAGTCTGTGTGTACTGAATTTATATAATACACGAGTTTCACTATTTGAGTTGAACTACTGAAATAAATGGACTTTTCCATGATATTCTAATTTATTGAGATGCACCTGTAGTTCCTGTCATTCTTGATTGTTAAACAGATACAATATTACATAACTTTAGAGCCATAGCTATGTTGCATGGAAGTCCATACAGGTGGTCGTAATGTTATGCCTGATCAGTGTATTTAAGTGCACAGAAGTTATCAAAAACAAGACTGCACAGTACCTGGATGTAAAGTCAGGTTTCTTTGCAGCATCAAGGAAGAACTCCAGAGCCATGGATGCCTTGTTTCTGGCCGTTTGGAGGATCAGAATCTGTGACAACACAGTTAATATCTTACTTCACTTGATAGCAATTGCTATGCTAAGACAATGTTTACCATAAACATTACAGATAGAACACAAAGTTTTTACTAAACCAATTCAGGCTCTGAACTTTTGGCTTAAGGCACAACAACAAAGCTTCATTATCACACAGTGAGTGAAACTGTTACACTACAGTTCATTCTGACCCCGTGTACAAATGCGGTGGATACAAATGCAGAGTGAAAGCACTAATAAAGACACTAATATGCACAGCTTACAGCTGTCTTGAAATCATATATCAAACCAGGAAGTTTCAGTGGAAAAATTGGTCAGATTGGAACAAAGAATGAAATGTATGCAATTACACTGTGCTCCATGTTAGTTTTGAGAATTTTCATTACAATTTATATCAAAGTTGCTCAAACACTTTTGAAACTAGTTTGTCAGGAAAACAGAGCTGAGAAAATACAGTCTGACTTGAACCTATCAGTTCTACTATAGTACTCTCACTTCAACCACAACTTTAGAATGTTTCTCACCTCATCAACTTGTAGTTGATGTCCATATGTAGGAGTGACAGGGGCCCAGAACACTGTCGGTCCTCCTCGCAGCAAGTCCCATATTCTGGTCCATGTGTTGTGTGGCCTATTGAAAGATACATGGGGGGAATCAGTCCTATAATGTCTGTCCTAGTTATAACAATTACTCTGATCACAGAAACCTGTACAAACTAACATTTCATAAAAATCATCAAACATGCAGGAAAAGCCAACAGCTCTTAATACTTACTCTCAGTATATGATGCGCTTTGAGGCAAAACAGGAGTTTTAATAACTGTTTTCTCTAATCAATTCATATTTCTTACTCATCTGAGCCTCTCCTTCCATACTCACCTGATCTTTCCTTTATTTTCCTAGCCTATGCTTACTAGTCACATTAATGTAGTAACAGCATCAAACTCGGTTGGAAAAAGCAGTGTACATAAGTGCAATTGGGGCATCTGTACTTTTAGTTTCTGCTTCTTCACATCTTACCATACCTTTTGACTCCACTAGATTTATTTGATAACTTGAGTTTATAGTTTTTCAGAATTAGATGAATAAAAAAGAAATGCGGTACAAGCCTAATCATGAGACTTCAGTAATCTCTGGTGAGAAATTTACAAGCTACTCACCAGAAGTTCAAATTTTAACAGTTAAAATTATCCCTACTTTTGCCAGCTACAATATTAAAATGATGAACACAATAATGCACCACAAATTATAATCAAATATTATACATTAACGTGAAATGCGTTCTATTATTATTCTGCACAGTGACTACTTTTACTTTTGGTAATTTAGGTATATTTCGCTGCTAATGCCTTTGCACTATTATTTAAGCATCATTGTGAATATAGCACTCTGACCTGTAACAGGGCATCTCAGTAAAAAGACGCCGACCCGTTTGGACCTCACAGGGTCCTCATCAGGACGGAAACATACAGGTCCAAACAATTTGTTAGGTTTCTGTGCTGATGAAGACCCGATGAGGTCAAACACGGCCGGCGACGATTAATGCTAAATATACAAGACTACATATCCAACAGGGAATAAGTTACAAGTAAACTCTAAGAGATTTCTCCTACATTGGGCAGGGTTCACAATAAGCCTGACAATTGACAGGATCAAGCTAAGCAAATGAGTACTGGGCGGCTAAGTCCTACATTAGCATTCTGCTAACGTTAGCATCCCACATGGAATAGAATACCTTTGGGCAACAGCGAAGCACCTGCACACTGCCTATATACAGAACGCAACACATGGAATGTTTACTGTTATTTTCTAGTTTTCTAATGCAACCCACCTGAGGGGGACTAAGAGGACAGCAGAGAGACTCAAACGCAACTGGTTACGCAAGCTCCACTACAAACAAACTTACAGAACCGCCACCGGAGACTAACTTGAAGAACCCAGCTACCATCTGATTGGACAACTTGACTCTGCTTTGTGATTGGACTGTCACTGTCCAATCAGATTCAGGTGTGATTCACACTAAACCTCAGTACTGTACTCCTAAATAGAGTTGTGCCTTGCTTCCTGACTTTGGTATGGCAGGTCGGGGTTCGATTCTCTGTCAAGGCACGATAGATCGTTTTGAGAGAGACCACGGCCCCCCATATAGTACACGAATTAAAAGATATGATGCTGAAAGAGGTAAGTGAAACGCCCTGCCTCACTGAAATCTCTGAATGTTGCACTAGGCTGAAAACATTTTACAAATAACTAACTAGAATTGCCATGTCTTTGCCAGGAAACAACTCTCCATTTTCCTAGAAGGTAAAATTGATATTTTATTTACACAAAGGGATGGTCATATAATTGAAAAGGAAAAGTGTATGACACTGGACAGTGGAAATTGAAATAAAACATTTATTTAAAAAACACCAAGTATCCCTTTTGCGGTAAAAATTGTCTTTACACTCAATAGCCACTTTATTGGGTACAACTGTATTCACTTCAATGCAACTCTTCGGCCTTAACACCTGTTAATGAAGCTCAAAATGTTTCAATTTTTTGTGAAATTGTCAAAAATGTTTCACTTCAATTACATGCTTATTATTAAGGTCATAGTCAAAGGTAACTATGACCTTAATAATGTAATTGTGCCCCAGGCCCACTTGTTTTCCCTGCACACATCTTTGAAAACACAAATATATAGTTTAATATTTTTAAAGACTAAGACAACTAACAACGGGGCACTGATTAAAATTGCTAAAACAGTTTTTTGCAGCACTATCAGGTGCAAATGGGCACAGTGGAGCAGTGTATGAAAACTGAATTGAGAAAAAAAGAGAATGTAGTATATGGTACATGACAGCTGAGTAACAGTTGTCGACCTACTATAAGCCCTTTTCATCGCTACAGATGTCAGATTTGGAATTACAAACAAACTAAGTAAATTAAATGCAATTAGGTTAGCCTGGACCTCGGGGACTCTGGTAAATCCGCCTGGTGGTGCTGGCGGCAACAGTACAGAGGGGACATATTATAAAGTAGGACACAGCAGATGATACCACAATAGCATTAGCAACTGGGATTCTGTTTAAATCAACAAACTTGAGCACAATTTTTTTTTTTTTTTTTTTTTTTTTTACTGTTTTCAGGAGAGTCTTCCAATATTTTAAAAAGTTTTAAGAATAGATTCAGATTTGGCAATTACATTTATTAGCTTTAGTTAAATGAGAATACTGGTTGGTTGGCTGGCTGGTTTAGCTTAGCATAAAGAGTTGAAATGGGGAAACAGGTGACCTATAATGAGCTCTGTTGCCTTTCACTTGTTATGCTAAGCTAACTGGCAATTTGCTGTAGTTTCATATTTAGTGTACAGGCATGATCAGAGTATCAATTTCTGCATCTAAATCTCTGCACATTAGCATATTTTCCAAAACATCAAACTATTCCTTTACAAAAATTCTTAAAAATAACAATTCAAATAAGTAGATATTACTTTTTTCCCCAATGACTCTTTCCGTTAGCTGCTACAAAGCTTTTCCACTTCCTGTTCGCCTGCATCCTCTCACCTCTCTGGCGTGTATGATCCAGCCTGAAGGCCGTATGCCAACAGTGGATCAAAACTGAATTTTCTCTCTAAACAGGCTACTTGCTCCCAGATTAACCCAATGGAATTTATGAATAATGCCACTTAGCCCTAATTGGAAACACTGGTCCAGGAAAATAATATAAGAACATAACCCTTTTTACTGAAGTAGAGTATTTGGGTCATATCTGTCTGTAATTTTCAAGCTCATGATGCTCTGATGTTTAATTCTGATCAATTAATTATAGATTTTTGCCATTTGCATGGTAATTAACACAGCATTAGTCCATTTGTCATTACTCAATCTAGTCTGGAGGGACTAATTTGGATGAAATGCATACAGTGGTGTCAGCTGGGTCCTGCATTCATCCACAAAATTGATTTTATTAGCGAAATCATCTCATTTCAAACATGTTTTTGTTATGTGCCATCATAAGCTATGGTTGTAGAGAAACCATAGTTATTTTGGAGCAGCACTGGAGGTCAACTACACTATGAAGGACCGAATTGAGACAAGTTACTGTCACTATACTGTCACTATATTCTGGCATAATTAACCCAGGTGCTAAAATTGACATGATATAGTTTCTTTTTCACTTTGGAATAGATAAAACATTTTTATAAATTATATTCTTACAAAGACAAATCAAGAACCAAATTTACATTTTGCATTGGTTTGAGAGGGACTTAGTCTATACACTGCACTACAGAGACTCATCTGATAGTAGGAAGTACATAAACTATCTCCAGACAGCTGCCATCTATTTTGTGATGTGGCTCTTTTGGAAATACCTGCATTCTGGAGTCAAGACATATCCAAACTTGAACTGGATAATATAAGCATTAGTAGCAGGTGTAATTTGTCCAGGAAAGAGAGTGATGGAGTGCTGTATCAGACAACCTGGTCTCCACATTCACTCGACCTAAACCCACCTGAGATGGTTTGGGATGAGTTAGACCACAGAGTGAAGGAAAAGCAGGTAACAAGTGCTCAGCATATGTAGGAACTCCCAAGACTGCTGGAAACTATTAACAGGTGGCTACTTTGAAGAATCTAAAATTTTGTATGTACGTTGCTTTACAAATACTAAAAGATGGCCAACTTTGTACCAAAGGGAACAGATATTTAAAAAGTAACATTTAAAAAAAATCTTTTCCACAGTCAAGTTTAGGCGTCATCATGTATCATTAAGTATCAGGTATCATCATGGTGTTGGACCAGAGCTGAGAGTTTTGTGGGTGGAGCTGACGCATTAGTGCATCATTGGTTAACATAAATGATATCACTAGAGCTGAGAGTTTTGTGGGTGGAGCTGACGTATTAGTGCATCGCTGGTTAACATAAATGATATCACTAGGACTAGCAAACACTGTAAAGTTGGAATATTTACAGTGAAACTGAAGTTATTTACTCATGTACATTTGTGGGCAGTCAGTGAACGTTCTCAGTGGTTCCCCAGTGGCCGGCGGCCTGTAGACAGTGTCCTGTTAGCCAGTCCATATCTGCCACACAGTCAGACGTCTGTCGTGATGGATGAGGACACACTGCTGATGAGAAGGAAGATTGAGTGGATGACTGGATAGAAAAGGATGAGGTTAGAGAAAGATCAAGATCATTATCAAGATATATAATTTGCATCCCTTTTATACAGGTAATAAAACTCACTACATTATAAAAATGCACCATGTCAGAACGAGAGCACAATTTTTGTTAAAGTCCACTGTAATCTGCTGTGAACAGACAGACTTCCTCTACAGACAGTCTGACACTGTATTACTGGACCATATTTTGGTTGGCTGAGGGCTTCACTGGCCCACCGTAACTATACGCTGCTTGAAAATAAAATAAATTTTGTTCTACATGTGACTGTGCAGAAGGAGGCCAGGTTTACTACCCTGTGTGTGAGCTCAGCATACAGCAGGGATCCAGCCAGAGTGTGGACATGTCCTTTAGACTTCCCTGTGCTGCCTAATGTGCAGAACAAGATACTGTACCTTCACTGTCTTACAGCATTGGTTTTCAACCAGTGGTCTGTGAAGGCATTGCAGGTGGTCCCTGACCATGCATTCAGTAATGTAGTTGTTGGTATCTTTTTTTTTTTTTTAATAGGACAATCAAATACATGCAAATATACAGTATAATATTTAGAAAAGCCAAGGTGACTTTGAGGATTTAAAAAGTGCCCTACAGTCTATCCACCCCACATCAGTGGTCCTCAGGTTATTTCTTAGTCAGAATGGTGGTCCCTGAGTTGAAAGCCCCTGTCTTACAGCATTTCCTGCACAACACACGGAGGTTTACAGATTATTTTTTAAGCATCACATTTAATGACTGCAGCATAGTAAAGGAACCACACTATCAACTGGTTGAAATTAAATGTGGAACAGCATTTGAAAGATCAGCTTTTACAGAACTGGTAAAGCGAGCTCAAAAACACATCATCATGTGAATGATAGAGAATTTAAACAAGAATTTAATTTGGAAAATGATTTATTTTGTCAAAACTATATGCATAGATAAGTTATTTGTAATTTTAAGGTTGAAAAACACCAGAATCCCCAAGGTTACTGGGTGACATAGACGCCTGGGTAGAGAACAGAGATTCTGTAATGACAAATGATTGATGAGTTTCATATTCTGTTCAAATGTAAAAATGCAAGAATAATGTATTACAGAAAACAGTACCTGTCATTGTACTATTCAAACTGCCCACCTATGTTTAATTAATGCTATTACTACGAGCAGATAGGCCACAAGTTATTGGTTAAATTGGGTGTTTTTG